GGGAGTATTCTGTCCTTTTCTATGTTCTAGAATAGTCTGAGCAGAATTTGTGTCAGCTCTTCTCTGAATGTTTGCTAGAATTCTCCCATGAAGACATCTGGGGCAGGGCCTTTTGTTGTTGGGAGTTTTTTTTCTTTTTTTTTTAATGACCTTTTCAATTTATTCTTTTGTTATGGCTCTGTTCAAATTTTCTACTTCATTTTGTGTTAGCTTAGCTTAGATTTCTAGAAATCTGTCCATTTCTTCTAGGTTTTTGTATTTATTGGAGTACAGTTCTTCATAGTATTGTTATGATCTTTTTTATCTTAGTTGGATCTGTTGTAGCATCACCCATCTCACTTCTTATTTGGGTTATCTGCATCGTCTCCTTTTCCTTTGTAGATTTGGCCAGTGATTTGTTGATGTCGTTGATCTTTTAAAAAAGAAAAAAAATTCTTGATTCTTTCTATTGTTTTTGTTTCATTTATTTCTGCTCTAATTGTTATTATTTCCTTTCTTCTGGTGACGGTAGGCTTCTCTTGCTGCTCTTTTTCTATTTGTTCAAGTTGTGGGTTTAAGGTGTTGCTATTGGCTCTTCCTTCTTTTTGATGTGTGTGTTTATTGGTATTAACTGACCTCTGAGCACCGCTTTTGCCTTTGTCCCAAAGATTTTTGTATGTTTTGTTTTCATTCTCGTTTGATACTATAAATTTTAATTTCATTTTTTATTTCTCCTATTACTCAGTGTTTTTTAAGCAGGGTATTATTCAGTTTCCATGTATTTGATTTTTTTCCCTTTGTTCTTCCTGTTATTGATTTCTAATTTTATAGTTTGTGATCAGAGAAGATGCTGTGTATTATTTCAATGTTTCTGAATTTAATGAGTCTTGCTTTGTGGCCTACCATATGGTCTATCCTGGAGAACGATCCATGTGCACCAGAAAAGAATGTGTACTGTGCTGTTGCTGGGTGGAGTGTTCTGTATGTGTCTACAAGGTCAAGTTGGTTGTGTTGTTTAGATCTTTTGTATCTTTTTTGAATTCCTTTCAAGTTGTTCTGTCCTTCTTCGAAAGTAGTATATTAAAGTCTCCAGCTATTATTGTGGAGTTATTTCTCTTTTCAGTAGTGTTAAGAGTTTGATGTATTTTAGTGCTTGTTTGTTGGGTGTGTAAATATTTATTATAGTTATGTCCTCTTGGTGGATTGATCCTTTATAATCATTATATAATGTCCTTCTCCTTGTCTCTTATGCTGGTTTTTGCCTTGAAATCTTTTTTTATCAGAGATTAATATTGCCACTCCTGCTCTTTTTTGGTTACCGTTTGCTTGATATATTTTTTTCCATCCTTTGATTTTTAGTTTATTTTTGTGTCTGAGATGTTTAAAACAGTCTATTTTGATATCACCTTGATTTCCTCTTCACGTGGAAGTTCTGTAACTACACCATTTATTTCTCCTTTTTGTTTTGAAGCTGTTGTCGTTTACAGATTCCTGTCTCTGGTTCCCTGTTTTCAGTCTTGTAGCTTTTTTTTATTTTAGATAATTCTTTATCTGGGTTGGTATCTGGATGATGTTTCCTGGTCTTAATCTCAGCTTGTTGTTTGATGTTGGCTCTCTGTCTGAAGGACTCCCTTTAGTATTTCTTATAAGGTTGATCTAGTTTTTACAAATTCTCTTAATTTCTGTTTATCTGGAAATTTCCTAGTTTCATTATCATATCTGAGAGACAAGTTTTCTGGATACATAATTCTTTCATTTTGGTCACTTGCTTGAGCCATCTTTCCTTGTTTCTTTACATGGTTTGATATTGTCTGCTGTCTCCACAGCATGAAGGCATTATTTATCTATGTTTGTTTGATTTTGATATATCCAAGTGAGTGGGTTGGGTGTGTTTCGTTGACTGCTCATCTGGCGGCATGAGTGTTCACCACCTGCCCCCAGGTGGACAGGGCAGCATCAGGCAGGGAGAGCCCTTGTCACTGTCACTGCGTGTGAGCTGAGGGCACGGTGGGCAGGAATGCTCACCATCACTCGCTGGGTGGATGTGTGGCAGGTGAGGATTGGGTGGGTGGCTGGGGTGTGTGCAGGTGCTCTCTCTGGCAGGGGACGGTTGGGGCAGGTGGCTGGGGAGCACGCAGGCACTCTTTCCAGCAAGGGAGAGGTGGGGGTGGTGGACTAGGCTGGGTGGGGGGGGGGAAATGGAGGGGCTTATACTAAGGTCCCCAGCACTTGGGGCAGCAGGATGGGAGAGTTTGTGTCACTAATCACCAGGAGGGTGGGAGGGGTGTGTGTACTCCTATGACTGTCAGGCAAGGGTGCCTGGGCACTTCTCGTTGGGCACAGCTAGTAATTAGTATCTGGCCCTGATCAAATGTGAGGAGGAGGGGCTACCCAGTGTCCATTCAGGTGGGGGACCTCCCACTGACGGTCTATGGATGTATTACTCCATACACGCCATCCACCCTACTGATCAGGTACCGCCACTGGTGAGTCGTCCCGACGCTAGATCCTAGCTTCCTCTCCGTGTATGCCAGGATCCCTAAAGTTCTCGCCCTCTTTCCTGGTGGCTCTTCTCCCTCTGTAAGATTTCTTGAAACTTTTCTTAGAAGGTTTTTTCTTTTAAAATCAATTTTTAAAAAAGAAAGCTCCTTGAACTAAAAATCTAGTCTTTGCAAGGGTTGTGACAGACACATGCTAGTTTACACAAAAGCACACCATTGCTCCACTTCATTTGTAAAGATATACGCCTGGAGAAAGCTGGCAAGATTAGGGACCTGAACCAGTGACAGAATAAACGAGGATCAGAATTAATACAGCAGTTATGATAAAGTTTGAATTTAGATAACAGTGTTCAGAAGAGACAATTCATTCCGTATCTATTTGTACTCAATTACTAAATATAGTTAGCACAACTGGGAAATTTAAATAATCTATTTCTAAAAAACTAATTGTCACTGCAATTGTGCCACTATACGTTTTATAGTAGTATTGAATTATTATACAATCTAGCATTACTAGTCTTAAGTCAATTGGGGCAAACCTAAAATACAGTATCTGGAGAGATCCACGGACTATGAGATGAGAGCTCAGAGCAGAGATGTTTTTTAGACTTAGGCTTTTCCTTTCTTTGTAGCTGTTGAAGAGGTTAAATAAGAAAGCACTGATATGAAATTGTGAAGCTCCATCAAAATCTATGGAATTAGCTCTGATGGAAGAAGTCCTTGGATGGCACAGATGGTTAAGTGCTCTACTTCTAGCCTCACCGAAAGGCTGGTGGTTCAAACCCACCCAGAGGCACCTCAGAAGATACGCCTGGCAATTTGCTTCCAAAAGGTCATAGCCTTGAAAACCTTGTGGAACAGTTCTATTCCACACACATGGGTCTGAATCAACTCCACGGCAACTAACAACAACAATAAGCTTTGATGGATCCTACCAAATAAAGGAGGGGTTTATGAACGACAGTGGAGTGACTGGGCACTACTCCAATACTACACTGACTCCTCACAGCAGCTCCCTGCTGTCACTAGCATTATCATCTCCATTTTACAAATGAGGAAATTGAGGCTTAAGAGAGATTAAGCCATTTATGTCTATGATACATTCATCATTTCTGCCTTTAGGTCAGTCTCCTAGAAGGAAAAGAAAGTGCTTAACTCTCAAGTATATAAATATATAACATATTTTATAGTACACAATACGGGGAAGGGGTGGTAGGAGAGATGAAAGAGTGAAAGAAAGGGTAATAGGTGAAGAGAATAGTCCTCAACCCAAGCAATCTTTTCAACATCGGGAGGTATGTGTAAGCATCTATAACACGGCACTACCGGTCTTAGTAACTCAGTAAAAGATAGTCCTAGATTGTCTGCACTGGTCCAACTTCTAAGAGAATATAACATTACTTTGGAATAGTCTCCTGACAGTAAGATGAGAGATCTTACAATAATCAAATGGTTTAAAGACTCAAAGATAAAGTTAAAAATTATTCCTCAGTATTAAGTCCTATAGGCTCCTACTATTAAGTTCTAAATAACAGTGACAACCCAGCTTGAGATTTCAACTTCAACATACATCATATGGGAAAAAAACAGCAAAGAGGATAGGACAATGAAGGTATGACTGAAGAACAATACAGAGCATTTGAAGAATGACAACTAGAAAGTAACACAGTACAAGTTTTTCCAATTAATCTGGGAAAGTTTTTGTTCTAATTAGTAAAAATTTAAATCCTTGAGTACCAGTGAAAATAACATTTAAAGCAAAAATTATTCTAAAACTGAATCACAAAATATATAGGGCTTTATATGTTTATATGGCTGGCAAAATTCTGGATATTAAGAATCATAGGCTAAGTCGAAAACAATGTTAGAAGACTGGACTGCTACATGTTAAAGTCACTTGTAGATAATCACAAAACATTTTCCCTGTAGGCTCCTTATCTGCTTTTCCCACTTAGGAAGACACGTGAGCTTAATGCTCTTTGGTGCTGCTGATGAAAATGAGGGAGCTGCACTGAGGGAGGCCCCACAGGCCTTCTATGGCCTGAAAGCAAAGTCCTGCACTACTGAGAGAACTTTTTTACTTAGGATAAACTCACCTCAAAGAATATTTTGAATGTTTGATGTAGAAAGGCTCCCTGGGACTTAAAAACTTCAGCTGGAATTTAATAAGAAACACTTTATGAAGTTATGCAAGTAAGATATCTTAGCACATATAAAATAAACCATGCATTTATTTAATTAAAGACACATTTTGTAAACTTAGGTACAGCCACAAAATGAGATAAGATAAATGCTCATGTGCTGAAGACACATTTAAGGAAATTTAATATGAATTTACTCTAGTTTTGACTAGTAAGTGTTATGCAGAAAAATGTCTGTGATGGTATAAAAGAAACAGAAAACTAACAAGAGAAAAAGCAAGTTAAAAATTAAAATGTGAAAATAAATTTAATGATTTCTGATTTTCAAATAATCATGAACTTCTTATAAGTTTCTTTTCGAACAGTATTTAAGGCATTTTAAAAACTAACTCTTCATTACAACTTAAATGTATCTATAAAATAAGTCTCTAATTATCAGAAAAATATTCATTATCAAACAGTTGAATACAGTTACTTTTCCAAAACCCACAATATCTCCAACTTACCAAGTGTGTAATAAATGAATTATTTCGCAAATTGACTTTTAATGTCCTTGAGTCCCCAACTCTAGTTGGCAGAAACATATACACATCCTCTGGAGCATAAACTCCACGGCGGGTTAGGTCAATCTGCCTGCTTAGGAAAATAGGTTTAAAAGTTAACTATCTAAAATTCATAGCAATTTAAACTATTTTTATGTATTAAATTATGAACTATTGCTTTAACTTGTGTGTTCTCTCAGAAGTTAAAAAATCATTTTGTAATGGCAATTTATCTAGTTTATATGAAGATACAATGAGAAAGGAGGAACACTTTTATCAAAGGGCAGGGTGGGCGACACCACGTGAGAAACAGCAGTAGCACCCCCTGCACCCCATCCCCTCTTTCCTTAAAGCCCAGGCTGTACTGAAGGTGGCTGCCTTGGCTTAGTTAGTCCACTTGGACTCCCCACACTGCAGCCGGAGCTGCTCTTACTTTTCACAGGGACACAGGCTGCTCTGAGAACCTGATCCATGCTGTGGCACCTCAGAAGCATCTGAAGGTGGTGCCACTTCCTCCTGCCTTGGCCTCCCTGATACCACACTGCCATCCTTGGCCTTCTTTGCAGTCTCATCCTCCACGACCCAACCTCTAATGCTGTTCCACCAGGCCTCGTCCTGGACACCTTAACTTCTCACATGACACTCTCCCTAGGCCACCTCATACTGCTGCTGGTAGATTCAGTGACCATCACACTGATGTGACTCCCAGATTTATATCTTAGCTCAGACTTAGCCTCTGGGCAACATACCTATATATTTAATGACTACACAAATATCTTCCACTTCTCTGGTTGTCTTAAAGACATCTCAATCTCCACAAATACAAAACTAAACTCATGCTCCTTCTCCTCAAACCAAATCTTCCGCTTGTATTTCCTGTCTTGGGATGATACCCAGGGGCCAACCCTGACATCCCTTCTCTCCCATGCCCCTTTATCCAATCCATCACTAGGTCCTTTCAAATTTCCTTTCTACTTCTACTTCAAAATTTTCAAATCTATTTCTCTTCCTCCTCCTTAAAACTTCCTTAGCCCTGGATGACTCAAAAGTAGCCTTCTAACTTGTTTTACTGTGTCTACTCTTGTCTCCTTCTAACCAGCCCATCTGTAGTCAGAAGGATGTTTCTAAATACCCAAATCCTTAGCCTGACATACAGGGCAGTGGCTGGTCTGAACTCTGCCCAGAAGCCTCACTCACACCACTCTCCCCTCTCACTTGCTGTGCTCTATACACATGGCCTTTTTCTGGTCCTTTAGGAGCACAGAATCCCTATTGCCACAGTCCTTTACACAGGGGGTCCCACAGAAATTCCTCCAGATATCACAGGCCAAGCTCCTCTGTCATGTTTTCCCATAGCACTGCACTATTACTTCTAGCACTTTCCACAGCTTGTCATGAAACACTTTAGTATGCTTTTCAGACTGACGTGGCTCCTCCTCCACGAAGGTCATGACTATGCCGCTCTGCCTGCTCTTTGATCTCTAGGACCTGGAGTAAACACTCAATAAGTAGAGACGAATGAAATAAATAGCATCCAGAAAGTGTGCCAAGAAAAAAAAAAAAAATTAAAACAATTCTTATTTTTTCCAAAATACATTTTCTAATATTCCTCTTGGAAAATAAATGACCAAGATTTATATCAAATTCAGCAGGCATTTAACATATTTTTTCTTCAGAGCATCTTTTTTCCGGAACTAAATTAGATCTAGATATTAGTCCTTTAGAGATTATAAGAAACATTTTTCATTAGGTAAAATACTTAAATACACATTTTAAAAAGTTTTTAATCTACTTTCATATTCAGCTTGTGGGTACGTAAAATGGTAAAACCACTTTAGGAAAATTATTTCACAATTTATTTTAGTTAAACACATACTTATCCTGTGACTCAGCAATTCTACTGTTATTTTTACTGCCCCCTGCCCAAATTAAAACTTGTATCTACAAAAATGTTTGTATACAATAATATTTATACCCCCTTAATTCATAATAGCCCCAAACTAGAAGTCACCCAAATGTCAACTGGAAAATGAATACATATATTGTAATATATTCATATAATGGAATATTAAACAATAAAAAGAAACAAAGTATAGGTACACTCAACAACATGAATGACTCTCAAAACACATTATGTTGAGTGAAAAAAGCCAGACACAAAGAGTACACACATACACGAAGTTCAAACAAAACTAATCTTTGGTGAAAAAAGTTAGAATAGAACAGAATGAACGTTGGGGTAGGGGTAGAAGGGCTGACTGCAGAGAGGCAGAGAAATATTCTGCATTTTGATGATGCTGGTTAAGTCACAGGTAAAAGACACTGAGCACTTTACTAAACATAATTATACCTCAGAGTGCTGGGAAAAATGCATAAGAATGACAAGAACAGCATACCCAGGTGTAAGTGCAGAAGCCGCAGATACAGCTTGTCTTCGGGGCTTAAGGGAATGATCTAGCTTAATGAGGGTGTCTGTGGAAATGAGTGCACTTTCAGGCTCACTTTCTGCTTTGCTGCTCTGTACAGACAAATCACAGGGCAAGAGAGGAGAAATAAATACTCCAGTAAAACGTATGGACATTTACCCATTTGAAATCTACTACTTTCTTTAAAATTTTTCTCAAAAGGACACTTTTAAGATTTTTCAATTCGCCACATCAAAAACACTATACATTGTACTGTCTGGTTTCTTACACACACAGACACACATACACAGTCTCTTACATAAGTCTGTCAAACCTGGGTCTTACGAGTTGTGTGAACAAAAGAGCCAAATTCAGACCTCAAACATGCCAGTCAATAAAGACAAACAACACAATTAAGATTACAGGCTATCCAACAGAATTAATTAAAATTAGAAGAATACCAGAAAAATACCTGCAGTTTCAGGCCAGTTTTTCATGCCAGTGTCACACAGTGGTTTTAACATATACATTAGATTCGAGGGCAACACTCACCTGTCCAGAGAGCTGGAACCTCAATGTGTGCTTCATGTGGGGCTCTTTCAGGGGATGACACTCAACATCCCAAAACTGGGCATAATTCCCTCCATCTCTGGGCAAAAATGTGATGGTGATCTACAAAACACACACATCCAAAGAGAAATCTAGACAGTGAACCTTACACACATGTAGTCAGATCACCAATTCAAGGGTTTGGCATGAAAACAGTTGAAGGAACTAATTCTTTCACATTGGTTAGCTTTGCCACTAACTGAAAATGAATCTGAATGATTCTATTTCTAGTAGACTTACTGTTATACCAGATGTTAAATTTTTGTTTAAGGCTTTATATAAAATATTCCTCAAAATGTATAATAAATGTGTTTTGTTTTGTTTCTTTGGGAAAAAAGTACTAGAGCTGGCCCACACAAGACCTAAACGAGAACAGTCACACCCCAGAAACACAGTCCAGACCTTGCTGGGTTTTCCATTGCGATGCTTATGGCACACTCTGCTGGCCACGTGATGAAGGGACGGAGACCTGGCAAATAGCCGTTCAGTGAGGACTGATGGACTGACACCAAACAATGACAGGAGATGGAAGATGACAAGTACCACTTGGCGAAATCACAGCAGCTCATGGGACTGGCTTCAGAATGCCAGTCAGGACCAGTGTCTCTGACCATATAGTCCAGTTACATTTATAACCTCACACATACAATCAAAAGAAGCTCCTGTTTTGAAAAAAAAAACAAAAACTCATTGCCTTCCAGTCAATTCTAACTCATGGCGATCCTACAGGACAGAGTAGAACTGCCCCATAGGGTTTCCAAGGCTGTAATCTTTACAGAAGCAGACTGCCACATCTTCTTCCCATGGAGTGGCTGGTGGGTTCGAACCACCGATATTTTGGTTAGCAACTGAGTGCTTAACCACTGTACCACCAGTGCTCTTTAAAGAAGCTCTAGAATGCCAAAAATGAAATATTTGAAAACAGTATTTTAAAAAGTTTACCCAAGTTAAAGAGCCTTAGCTGTATCGAAGAATTTAGTGTTAATAATAAAACATGCTGCCGCCAAGTCCATTTGATTCCGACTGATGGCGACCCTATAGGACAGAACAGAATTACTTCATAGGGTTTCCCAGGCTGTAAATCTTTACAGAAACAGACTGCCACATCTTTCTCCCACCGAGCGGCTGGTGGGCTCGAACCACTGACTGTTTGGTTAGCAGCCAAGTGGTTAACAAGCAATCTATATCCTTGAGTTTCCACCAGAAACAATGAACCTAGCAAGCCAGAACCGAAGACTTTTGGGAGAATGGAGGCAGAGGCAGGATAAAGGATATGAGATCATGAAGACTGGGGATTAAACTGTTGATACAGTCACCGAGAAGATTAAGGAAGAAAAAGTAGGTGAAAACAACCATCTCCAAAATGGTGGAAATACACAATTTACCTGAAACCACTGGGGACTACAGTATTATGTATCCTACAAATTCCAAATTAAAACCCTCTCAGACAACCACCCCCTGCCAAAAAAAGGGAAGAAAGAAAGAGGAAGAAAAAATTCAAATATTGCTGCATGTTATATTCTAGGCATATGTTGCAAAATTTAACATTAATTTAATCTTCATATCAAACTGACACTCGTTTCACAAAATTACTGTATACTACCTCTGACTTTAAGAAATACATTGTAACTAAAAATTTGATTTTTTTCCTTTTGGGCCACTGCTATATACATCAATCATTGTGCTTTGGGATTACCCTCCTAAATGGTCCCAGAATAATGTGTTTTGCTGGTTCCCTGCCCTCACCCCAATATTTATGAAGCAACCAGACCTAGAATTAACTTGTTAAAGATAAACTTAGTTCCTGCAATGTCATAAGTAATTAGTTCAGTCCATAATATACAGTAATAAATACCCCAAATCAACAACTTCACAGAGCTTACATTTCTATGTAAGTATTGTGTGAAAACGAGAAATTGCTGGGAGACAATCTAGCCCTACCCTCTCATTCTTTTTACAGCTTTAGAGACACAAATCACATACCATACACCTCACCCATTTCAAGTGTACAGTCAATGGTTTGTAGTATACTCAAAGAACTGTGTAACCATCATGACAATCTAATTTTAGAACACTTTCAACACCCCAAAAGAATTTCTGTACATATAAGCAGTTCGTATCCATTCCCCCAACGGCCACCGCAGCCTTAGGCAACCACTAATCTACTTTCTGTCTCAGTGGATTTGCCTATTCTAGACATTTGACATAAACGGAACCACATGGTATGTTGTCTTTTGTGACTGGCTTCTTTCATTGAGCATGTTTTCAGGGTTCATCAACGTTGCAGCATGTATCAGTACTTTGTTCCTTTTTATGGCTGAATAATATCCCATTATATGTACCATGAAACCTGGGACATCCAGAACTCAACAGGACTGCCTTGTTTTCCCAGGTCTCTTAAGTTTTCCACCTTTGACAGGCTGCACGCAGTCTTATCGTTTTTCTGTCTCTATTAGTGGAAAACATTTGAATTTTCCTTCTCTTTCCTTTCCTTTTCGCCTTATACAGGTTCCAGCTCTCGCAGGTTTTACCGTATAGCCCACATTTTGTTTATCCATTCATCTGTTGATGGACACCTTTCGGCTATTGTGAAGTGCTGCTATGAACATTCATGTACAAGTTTTTGTCTGAGCGCCTGTTTTTAATTCTTTTGGGTCAATGCTCGGGGGTGGAGTTCCTGAGTTATATGGTAATTGTATGTTTAACTTACTGAGGAACTGCCAAACTGTTCCACAGACCTGCGCCATTTTACATTCTCACTAGCAACTGATGAGGGTTCCAATTTCTCCACATCCTTGCCAGCACTTATTTTTCCTTCTTTTCTTAAATAACAAAATATTTTGTCTTGATTCTTTTTCAAGTTTTATTGTGGTAAAAAATATATAAATGTAAAATATTTGCCATTTTAACTATTTAAGTATACAGTTCATTGACATTAATAACATTCACTATGTTGTTCAATCATTGCCACTATCCATATCCTAATGTTTCTTATCACCCTGAACAGAAACTCAGTACCCATTAGGTAGTAGTTTCCCATTTCCCCTCCCCTCCTACAAATAAACTTTTGTTCCTATGCATTTGCCAATTCTAGATATTTCATACAGGTAAACCAAAACTAAACCAAACCCTCTGCCATCGAGTTGATTCCAACTCACAGCAACCCTACAGGACAGACTAGAACTGCCCCATATGGTTTTCAAGGCTGTAATCTTCATGGAAACAGACTACCACGTCTTTCTCCTGCAGAGTAGCTGGTGGGTTTGAACTGCTGACCTTTTGTTTAGCAACAGAGTGCTTAACCACTGTGCCACCAGTGGGATCATACAATATTTGTCATTTTGTGGCTGACTTATTTCACTCAACATAATATTTTCAAGGTTCTTCCATGTCATACATGTATCAGAACTTCATTTCTCTTTGTGGCTGAGTAATATTCCATTGTATGCATATACCACATTTTGTTTATCCATTCATCTGTTGATGGATACTCGGCTTGTTTCCCCACTTTTTGGCTACTGGGAATAATGCTGCAATGAGCAGTGGTGTACAAGTATCTATCTGTGTCCCTGCTTTCAAATCTTTGGGGAATATACCCAGAATGGAATTGCTGGATCATATGGTAATTCTATGTTTAATTTTTTTAGGAACTGTCAAACTGTGTTCCACAGCAGCTACATCATTTTACAAACCCACTAGGAAATGCACGAGTTTCAATTTCTCCACATCCTCACCAATACTTGTTATTTTCTGTTTTTCTGATAATAGCCATCCAAGTGGGCGTGAAATTATATCTCACTGTGGTGGTGGTGTTTTTTTTTAAATATTATTTTACTGTTTTTTTCAGTGAAAGTTTACACAGCAAATTAGGTTTGCATTTGACAATTTCTACACAAAAATGTAACTACATTAGTTACATTTTTCATACTATGTCAACATTCTCTTTAATCATGTTCTTGTTGTTCCGTTTCCAGTACTCTAGCTTCCCTGCCCCTTTATCTTCTCATCTTTGCTTTAAAGTAAATGTTGACCTTTTGGTCTCACAAACCAAAAACCAAACCCATTTCTGTCGAGTCGCTTCTGACTCACAGCGACCCTATAGGACAGAGTAGAACTGCCCCATATGGTTTCCAAGGAGCAGCTGGTGGATTTGAACTGCTGACCTTTTGGTTAGCAGCCAGACGCTTAACCACTGCACCACCAAGTCTCATATAGATGGTTTTTTAATGGCTCACCACACTCACGAGTAATATCCTTTATTTTGTGTGCCAATCTGTTACTTTGCTAAAAGGTGACCTCAGGGGATAGTTATGGTTCAAGGTTTAAAGAGAATCTCAGGGCAATAAGTCTCAGGGAGTCCTCTAGTCTCAACTGGTCCAGTAAGACTGGACTTTTTAAGAAGTAGAATTCTGTTCCACATTTTCATCCTGATCTATCAGGGCCCATCTATTGTGGCCCTGATTAGAATGGCTGTGTCTTAGTCATCTAGTGCTGCTATAACAGAAATACCACAAGTGGATGGTTTTAACGAAGAGAAGTTTATTTCCTCACAGTCAAAGTAGGCTAAAAGTCCAAATTCAGGGCAACAGCTCCAGGGGAAGGCTTTTTCTCTCTGTCGGCCTTCGTCTCTTCA